TACTTATTGAAAACATGAGAATTCCTACTGCAGACTGCAAAGGAAAACAAAAGTAGAAATTACATACAATTAAAAACTTTGAGCAACACTATGATAGTCTTTTTGTGCACAGGATTGCAATCAGGATGTGATTTTAGCTGACTTTCTCTACCTTTCATGAACTTAGGGGAACTTAAAATTAACAACTATTTTGTAAAAGTAACAGATGCACATGGGTATCAAATAAGGAAACCTTTTCTTTTAATTTACCCAAGGAGATTTTTGATGACTTTGTCACAGGCTGGAAGGGACATCTAGAACTAATTTGGTCTAAGCCTCCTGCTCAAGGCAGTGTCAGCTACAGAGGGTTACTGAGGGCCATGACCAGCTGAATTCTCAGTATCTCCAAGGACGGAGACTCCAGAACCTCCGAGTGCACTTGTTTTAATATTCTATTTGCCTCACAGTAAAAAATGAGTTAAAAATTTTTTAGATCAATTTTTCTTTGTATTTCAATTTTTACCTGCTATCCTATCACTATATAACACTGAGAATAGTCTGACTGTGTCTTCTTTACTCTATTCCATCAGGTGTTTTTTACACATATTGGTAATATTTCCCTCCCAGCCTTCTCTTCTCCAAGCTAAACAATCCCAGGTCTGGCTGCCTTGCCTTGTATGTGGCATGCTGCCTAACCATCTTTAAGGTAGTTGACCAGGCCTGCTTTGGATGTCCCTTTCTCCTAGGGAGCCCACTGCTGGACCCAATGTTCCAGATACGGCCTCAACAGCCCTGAATAGAAAGGAAGAATGAGCTCCATTGATCTGCTGGCAACATTTCCTAAAGCAGCACAGGAGGAGGCTGCTGGCCCTCTTTGCACAAGGGCACAGCACTGCTTCATATTCAACCTGATGCTCACCAGAATCCCCAAGATCCTCTTCTGCAAAGTTGCTGCCCCAGCGTGTACTAGTATAGAGGTTTATTCCTCCTTAGATTTTGGACTCTGCAGTACCAGTCAGAAAAACAGAGAAAAATCACTTTCAGAACTATGCTCACACAGATGTACATTGCCATGCACCCCTGAGCTCCTCACACAGTTTTGTTTCATGCAAAAAAAGCCACTGACAACATATATATCAGACTGTCACAGAGATACTGCCAGTTCTGGTCTCCGTGTGCCAAGTGCACACATTATGTAAGCCTATCAAGTGTTTGAGAATATGTAAGGACATTTACAAAAGTGTGTGCACAGTTGTGCAGACATGTCTCTTAAAATACAGTTCTGAGTTATCTCTCTGTTGACATCCCAGACTCAGTGAACTTCACGTATAAAACCAGCTCCCTGTTTGATTAATTCTAACAGATCACCACTTTATCATTCCATAAAGCAGACTCCCTTCCATAACTCCCTTCCATAACAGAGATCTGCATCTTTTCCCCCATTTTCTTACTTTTACAAGTATTTTTCCTTTCTTTTTCTTGCTGACTCATTTTCTTGTTGCTGTACTTTCTTCAGTTTTGACCATGAAAACTAATGCTACAAGGATGCACAAGATAAATACTTCGAGATTTTTAATTTCTGCTACATTATACAGCAGGAAATGTGATGAACCTTACTCACCTTCTTCAGAAGACAGCTCATTAAAAATCATTAACAACTTTTAGTATGAGAGCAGGAACTGACCTAAGTCCTGAGAAAACCAGCACTGTTTTTTTTAACACTGGTTTAAACAAAGGTTTACTTTGATTTGTATTCCTAAAAGAACATTAACTAGAATATTTCAATTTAGATTATTTTTATTTCTAATCTTTATTCCCCTTTGCTAAAATCTCACAACTTCTGTAAGAAAAGGATACTAGAGCAAGTAAAGAGGAGGATGGAATATTAATATCTATGAAGTCCTATTAAGTTGGAGACTTAATTTGCATTTTCCTTTTTCAGTAATATTCTTTTAGTGAATAAGTTTTTAAATACATCACAGTGTAAAGATGTCCTTATTCAATCTCAGCACTTTTTGAGTAAAAGATGTTAATATCTAGGGAAATCGCATTTGTCAGATACAGCTTGTTCAGATGCAGCCTTTGCTTACTGAGTGCTGGGTAGTGGCAAGCATGCGAGAGGAGGCATCCTTCTACGCACAACCTGTTTTTTGTATCTTTGCTTATTATTTTACAAGAGCTGCTTCTACCAGCAGCTCTCAGGTTTGAGCTAGATGGGCCGATATGGTCTAATCCAGGTGGACTTTTTAAGGTTTTATGTTTCCTTGCTATCTCATCTTTTTTTCAACATCTCCTTTGTATTTCTCTGTTTTTAAAACATAGGAGTGACTTCCATTTCTTCTGCTTCTATAGCTGAATCTGCTTTTGTTGTCATACCAGTGTATCCTTTTTCTACAGGTACATTTGCAACTTTCTCCCACTCTGATGTCTGCCTAATGTTCCAGAACTGATATGCCCGCGACCAATGTACTTTTTTGTCCTCGTGACTTCTATCCTGCTCATCCATTTTCTCCACCTTAGCATTTCCTTCCCCTCCCACAATTTCCAGATTTCTTCCCAGAGCTCCCTTCCCAGCACTAGAAGATTTGTTTGTGTTTCCTTCCTTCCTTCCTTGCTTCCTTCCTTGCTTCCTTCCTTCCAAGTCTTTGCATCTTTCCTCTGTTACCTTGCTTAGTCTTGTAGGACAAGTGAACTAGGAAAGGAAACAGCTGCCTCTTCTAATTGTCTAAGTCAGGTGTGTATTTAAGTCTCAAACGCACTAGTGCCAACAGGAGTTGGACTAGGTGATCTCCAGATGATCACCAGAGGTCCTTCTAACCCTAACAATTCCATGATTCTGAGAAATCCCAATATATTCAAAGAGGAACAGCATAACATTAAGGTGTCTGCTAATTTTCCAAGGAAAACACACTACAAACAAGATAACTTAGTATTCTCTGAGACAGCGACACCAACTTCTCAAAAGGAAGAGTGTCCTGCAACACTTCAGGTAGATCACTTAGAGACTAACTGAACATTACTGACGGTCTTAATTAATAGAATTCTGTTCCCCTGTGAAGTGTTACAGTCTGGCAACATGAACAGCTACTTGCTATTATTCTTTCTAGGTTACCCAGTGCAGTGCTGTGTGTTCTGAACTAAAGCAGTGAACTAAATAAGCCTTTATCCCATATGCTGACTAACAGCTGTTTCTGAGCAACACACTACCCTCCCAACTATTTAGTACTGAGGATGATTTAATTCATTCCTGTCCCTAAGCATTTTTCTTCCTGATACTTTTTCTTTCTATCCAATTAGATTCCTATTCCAGATCCTATTTCATATGCACGACATCAGTCTTTTTGCTGAAGTAAAGACTAAATCTCTGAGACTATTTATTACTCCTCTCCTTCTATTTCTTTTCTTGCTGTATCTTCATTTCCCACCTTTCCTCACAAACACATCAAAAAAGTTAATTTCTCATATGGCTTTCCTCAGCTACAGGAGGGTGGAAATGTGAAGCAGATCTTGTAAAATGTTTGTCAAACCAAACAAGCAATTTCCAGAGAGTTTCTAACACATACCAGTTGTTATGGATATCACAGTATTATCAGAGTTATTTAGAACAGTTTTAGATTACCCAAATGTCAATCTCGCAGTGACTGCACAACCTTCAGGACATCTTTGTGTATATGACAGACTTACAGCTGTGAAACGATTGCTTAAAAAAACCTTGTAGTTTCTAAATGAGCACATATCAATTTTTTTCTTTACGGGGAAAAATATTTAAAAAGTTACAAAATAGGTTCAGCTATTCAAATGTATCATTTTGATCTATGTTAGTTTTTCTTTTGAGTCTGAAAGCACACGATGAATTTCACTACTGTTTGTTTTCACATTTTCAATGTACTGGTTAAAAGTAACTATGTCTTTTCATTACTACTTTTTTAAAAAGTTCCCACCGACTTCACCGACTTTTAAAAGCATGTATTTTGGCTAAGAAACAAATCAGAGGTCACAAAACCAACCTAACATTGCACAACATCTTACTTGAAAATTATGACAATTATAGTAAAACCTTCAACTAATATCTTCTGATTGGTTTGTTAGTTTGGGCTCTCCTTAGGTATCTAGCCTATTACAGATTTCTTTTATATACTAAAGTGATAAAAGAAATTCAGTGAGGATTCGGCAGAGCTACAAAAATAAGTTTTGGGGTTTTTTTCTAGTGGTGCACAATGGCTTGTGGTAGATAAGATAGATGCAGAAAGTTCTGAAGTTCTGACAAAGTGTATTCAGAAAGACATGACTCAGGTGGTACATGTGTAAATACAAATGCCCCAGTCACCGTACTGTGAAGAACCCACACGGAATTATCAGCATGAATGCCCATTTTTTAGGAAACAGCTATTTATGCTGGTTGATCTTGCACTGAGGCATAGTCTCAAGTATGTGATAATACATTCTGTCACCATGGAAAGGAATGAACATAATGTAATACCAAAGAATAAATTAAAACATTACATGCTGGCAAAGCTTTCATTCTTATTTCAACACAAACAAGGGTTTAAAAACATGTAGAAGGTAAACAAAAGTTCTCAGACAAGTATTTGTATTTCCCCTTGCTCAATTTTCATTTAATTTTGGTATAATTTTGTTGAGTTTCTAGTTGAGCTGAGCTAGTTGTTTCTTAACTATTCAATTAGGTATACTCAGTAAAAACCTGGGCAGAAAGCTATTGCTATTTCACTCTTGAAGGGCAAGGCTTCCCCCTTGATCTGCAATGATACGCAGTAAAATCCTATTTGTCTTACATAAAAGCATCCAGTGAAATCAGAAGGGGATTTGGTAAGGGGACCAGGATTTGATCCAAAATCGTACTATCATAAGGATATAGACATTCTCCAAAATTGGTGGTCATACACCTCTACGCCTAAAATAGAAACACAAGTTAATGCTTTTCCTGAAAGTTTCCATTATGTAGTATTCAACAAAGATTTGCACATGAATACAGCTTTAATTAAACATAAGTTGCCTCCTACCCAGAAATTGCTGCTAGTTTTTGATGAGCCTGATAGGCCATCTCACATCCCCGAGTTCGAGTTTTGTGCAATTCCGCATGTAGAGAAGGACAGGTGACTGAGACATCCCCAATAGAAATGACCAGCTCCCGATAGAGAGCCACCTGGGTGTTGAACTCCTGGACAAGCTGAAAAACAAAAACGGTTTACATACATGAGAATTTTTAACTACATGGGTAAAAACAATCCATTTTTTAAATAACATGCCCAGTCTAGGGCTTGTTCCTGCTGCTCACAATTTCACAGCACACAGGATCAAGAGCACACGATTCAGTAAATGACTAGAGCCTCCATGGCAGCTGCTTCTTCTGTGAGCTATAAATGTTCATATATAGGAAAGTACTGTTTCTGCTTCTAGTATCTGAATGTGTTTGAGTTATTAGTATTAAATATTAATCAGACAAAAAAAACATCTGTTTTACTCATAGCATGAGGTTATTTTTTGCTATCATGAAAGGCAAAAATATCTCCAGAAATTATTGCCTTCGCTCCTGCTTCCTGATTAACAGCACATTCAGGGATTGGAATGCAGCACTTGCTTTTAAATTGGCAATTTTGCAAATTTATTTTGTAATGATTTCTCTTCTGTCTCTTTCCTTCAATCCAGGTTTCTGACTTAGAATTCATTTGCTGTTACTGGCTGAGAAGACGTACCAGATAGTCACTTTCCTGTTAAAATTCCAGAAAGCACCTTTTCTAAAGTACATGTGGGAAAAAAAAAACAAATGAGTAAATAAACACTACAACCTGTACAGAAATCCAATACCCAGCAGATATATACAGACGTTATTCGATAAATGGGTCATTTCAGAATGATGGAAAGATCATTATTGTTTAGTTCCACTGATCACATACTTTAAGGAAATTAAGCATTTGCTGTCTTCTAAAAGAATGCACAAAAGACCATTTGCTCCACATGGTGGCGGGGGTGGAAGGATTGGAGTAATAGAACAGAATATTTATTTATCGGTGTTTTGACCTCAATTTCCAAACTACATAAAAACAGACAAGAGTAATTGCTCATAATTCTGCAGTCGTCTTTACCACCAGAAGTTCAACACACCCCAACATAAAAACATGCTAAGAACCTGGAGTCTATCAGAGCTACCAGTTTTTAAAGTCAAGACCTCAAATTCTCATGCTCAGGAAATAAATGAGTTACTTCTGCAGTTTTACATTCATACCCTTCATGCAACCCACTGCAATTAACTGTATACCTGAGAATTGGTATCAAAAATAGTTTTGGCCATGCTTTCCCAAATTTCATTTAAAGAACAGCAAATAGGCTCCTCTGCTTCAGGAGCATCAAGTCAATCCAAGTGCATTTCAGTACATCTGCACCCTCCCACACCTATATCCCAAACAAACCTAAAAGCACACACCAAACAAAGTCATAGGCACAATATTTGCTGAATAAGTCTTCAACTCTTATCATTCTGTAGCTTAAGAGAATGCATGAAGGCAATGGAGAGGAAAAAATTGTACTATGTTGTGCCATAGTGTGATTATTCTGCACTAGGAAGAAAAGTGTTGCATCCTGCAATTGGTAACTGGTTGCACCAGATGCATTTTGCCAGTTCTCACTGGATATCGCTTGTTTAAACAGACTCATTCAGCTACCTTAGCACTGCCCAGGAAAACAAAACCACATATATGTTCCTGAATTGAGACAGAAAGCAAGAAAAAAACCACACTGATTTCACCTCCTGAATCCTACTGCAACTTGATAACCCACCTATAAAACGTATTTTATTTCTGATTAATTCTAAAAGTTAATTCTAAAAACTTATCTATAAGTAACCACATTATGGTACTGGGAATCAGAAAAAAGGCAGAACCCAGTAAGATCCACTTGTTGGGTATATTTATAGAGCTGCTGTGGCAGCTTTTGTTCCTCCATGCACTGGGAATTGCTCCCAGTCTTGAAGCATCAAAGTGGATAATCTGCCAGCACATTTTTCAGCACCAGAGGAAAAAAATTGCCGGAATCCAGCAGAATAGAAGTAGCAGCTCCATTTTCAATGCTACTAGACAGCTTTAGCCAGGTACGGATTTATCAAGAAAAGCAGCAGTGACTTCCTTTTTTTTCTACGTTTGTCAGTAGCTAGAGAGGCACTTTTGCGGCCCAGTGTCAGGCTGACTGTAGCTCAAAGAGCTTGAAAGGGGGCATATGGTGCTGATTTGGAGGAAAGTGTCAGAATCCAAACATTTTGAACATGACTGTGGAAAAAATCTCACAACAGAATATGACAGTCCATAAATAACACAGATGCAGGTGCTTCACACTTGCAACCAGCTACTCTGGGAAGATTAACAGGTATCATACATATCAGGAACAGAATTTCAGGGCCTCCCTGTGTCCTGATTTAGAAGGATATTAGGGCAAGCATGTGGTTGCTGCACAAGACAGCAAGTAGACAGTGCAGTGATTAATTGGAGGGAACTATTTACCCATTTAGGCTTCAGTGAGGCCAAGTCTGGGTACGGATTTGGACAGATCTACCAATAAGCACCTCCAGCTGCTTTGCTGTGTGTGTACTGGGGCGAGGACTCCTGCTCCCGCAGGACTGTCCAGGCGCCCGGCTCCGCTCCCTGTCCCGCAGCGGGCTCCTCGCAGGTCTCGTCTTCCCTCCCGGCTCCCGCTTTGGAACCGCGGCGAGTTGGGGCGCAAGGCAGCACCCCGGCGGAGACTGCGGGTTTCAAAACAGTGCAACTGCACGTGATAGGAATAGTCAAGGTGGCGGGAGGAGCGGCACTGCCGTCTGCGCCGAGAGAGCTCGGAAGAGGTAAAAAGCTACGGCAAACCCGCCCGGGGTACCCACCATCTTACAGTCGTCCAGGGTTCTCTGGGTCTGGTAGGCGCTATCGGAGCCGCTGCCCCGCCGTTCGCTGTCGCGGCCGTGCGGAGAGGTCCTGCTGCCCTGGAAGATGGAGGCGGCGGAGCGGGGGCGCTTCCTGCGCCCGCTCGGTGCAGCGCTCATGCACACGCATCCGCCGCGCGGAGCCGCCCGCGGGCGCGGGCAGCGCCTTCCCCGCCGCCGCCGCCGCCGCCGCCGCCCCGGGCACGGGTGCAGGCCCGCGCCGCTCGTCGCCTCGCCGGGCTGGAGCCGCGCCGCTCACGGCAGCGAGCGCGGCTACTGTGGGCGATAGCCTGGCGCCTGCGGGAGAGCCCGGGGAGCGCCCTGCAGCATCGCCTCCGCTACCGCGGGGAGAGGCAGAGGGGCTGGCGCCTGCCCTCTTTCAGCGGCATGTCAGTCCCCGCGGAATCGCCCCGCCGGTGGCATGCTCTGCCGTCCTCCCTCAGGCAGCCGGCGGGGAGGGGAGCGCGACCGTGCCCGGTGGGGAAGCACTCCCATGCAACGCCCGGCGCGCCCGGCGGGTAAGCCCGACCCGCCGCGTGTGGCCGGGCGCCCGCTGGGGGCGGTGCGGAAGGTCCGGAGGGGCCGGCGCCGTCAGCAGCGCCGCCCCCGCGGGGCGGGAGCGCCGCGCCCGCCGAGCCCCGAGCCCGCCCGCGCCGTGAGGGGCCGGGTCAGCGACGCGTCGGGCCGCTCTGGGCCGACCGCTGCCGCCCTCCTGGGAGCCGCCCGCCTCGCGTTTGCCGAAGCTGATACCGGTTTTCAAGAGGCGTGCTAAGGCATCACTTTTATTTTTAAAAAAGACTTGTTCCGCTGCTCAAGTTTTATCAAATTTAGTCAAATGTTGGAGGGCGTCCCAATACGAGTATGACACGAGAGACGCAAGTATGGTGGAGGATCTGGAGGGGAAGCCTTATGAGGAGCAGCTGAGGTTTGTTCAGCCTGGAGAAGAGACTGAGGGGAGACTCACTGTGGTCTTCAACATCCTTGAGAGGTGAAGCAAAGGAGCAGGTGCCAATCCCATCACTTTCAAAACCAGTGCCAGGACTTGAGGAAATGGCATGAAGCTGAGTCAGGGGAGGTTTTAGTTGCATATCAGAAAATTTTTCACCCAGAGGGTGGTGAGCACTGGAACAAGCTTGCCAGGGAAGTGTCACAGCACCAAGCCTGACAGAGTTCAAGATTGTTTCGACAACACTCCCATTCATGTGGTGGGATTCTTGGGGTGTCCTGCACAGGGCCAGGAGCAGATTCAGTGGTCCTGATAGGTGCCTTCCAACTCAGTATATTCTATGCTACTATGATTTGCTTTCTGCCTCCAAAAAACTTCATATTTTGGGGCTCTAACAAAATGTTTGGTGTGTGTGATGCAACAAGATTGTTAATTGTAGCAGAGATTAAAGAATAATTGAGTGGAGAAACTGCTCTGTGCACCAGCACAGTGCAGTTGCAGTTCACCAGGCTGATGCTCACCGTGCTCCCGGGCCGTGGGCACCAGCCTTTCCAATGCAGAGGGCTGTGGGGCTGTGCTGGTTCTGTGTCTCTAGCTTCCTTCCCCGGGGGCCCTTGGGGATTGCACGGCCCCAGCACCAGCTGGCCTGAGCCAGCTTCAGGTTCTCCTGGTCCTGTTCTTCTCTGTACCCAGGGAGCTATGGCTGTTTAGCTCGCTTCTGGTATAATTGTATTTATTCAGGCCACCGAGTAAGAGCTTTTTGTGTTTTGGTAATATTCTTGAATCCAAAGCAACATCAAACACATCACACAGAGTAACCTAGTCTTGCCAGGGAGCTTGAATATGCCATGAATGGCACTTTGGCAGCTTGAGGAACTCTTTTCAGGCTGTGCTGAACATTACTGTAACACAGACAGCCTGATACCCACTTTAATCTGGATATGGCCTGTGAATCTACTTTGAAACTCTTTTTAGACTTTTCCTGCTCTTTTAAAAAAATGTAAGCTACTGGGTATGTGGTTGTATGGATGGATTTGCAGCACTTGCAAACGCTGTCATCACATTAGTTAAAACAAAAATGACCTTGTACTTGTAACTTTACCTTTGTAAACCTACTATTAGATTTTCAGCATTTAGTGCAGAAAAACATGCAGTTTGCTAGTCCTATTTTAAGAACATCACTTTCTTTTTCATAGTTAATTTAATTCTTTCATAGAAAATAAATGCACGAGATTATGCTTTGAGCCAGGACATCATACTGCTGCAATATAGAGAAAAGACATTTCCTAATGACAAGAAAAATATTTTTAATACCGGTAAAAAGCAAGATGAACAAATCCTCTCCTCACATCTATATAGGTAAGAAAGAATATATTTATAAAGGGAAATTAAATATAAAACTATGCCATACCAGTGCTAGTGTTTTATTTGTTGCTTAAGGATCATTTGTAGTCAAACAATGTAGTCCTTTTTCAGTCTATTTCTAGTCTTACTAAGAGCTACTGCCATAGCAGTAATGAAATAATGCTAGTAGTAAACCAAACAACAGTAACAATAAATCTATCAAAGAGTGCAGCATGTTTGCTTTTACGTTACCTGCCTTGGCTCAAGCTATCGTCCCTTGAAATCAGCACCAAAGTCCCACTGGCTTTTAAGAAAGATTATAATTTAGTTCCTGGTGATATATCTGCCCTATATGAAGCTGAGTCACAGCTGAGTTCCGTCAGTCAGCATCTGGAACAGTTCTGAAGTTTAATGACTTCACTTCACATGGTATATTCAATATATCCACATTTGGAAGTGGATATGGCGTTTTTTCTGTAATTTGTAAGATTCCATGTTTTCATAATTGTTCTGGCTGACCTCTGAAATCACCATGGAATTTGATGGCACTTCATCAGCATAACCCTGGGTTATGTTGGAGAACATGTGAGTGACAGGTACATGGAGTGACAGGTATCAGTTCAGTCTGGGATGCAATAAGAAAAAAAGATTTTTGTAGGCATCCCAGGAATGGGTATGGGGGAAAGAGCTCCAAACTAAGGCACCAAAAGCTATTGCAGGGTGGGCAGTGGAAGCAACAAGACTTGGTTTGAAAATATATATAACCAAGAAACAAAATGCTCTCTCTTGAAAGCGGAGGTGTATATATATGTTGAAAACTTTCCTGAAGAGAGAGACATGATTTTTTCTTCTTGTCTGAACTAGTGTTTCTGTCAGCTTTTCCTTACTCTAGCTTCATCTCCTGATGTTTAATGGACTGCAGAAAGCAGGGTCTTGTTGCTCCCTCCCATGGCATCCTCTCAAGACCACAGGCAGGTGACCCTGAGATAAGTTCAGAAAGCATATTGCAAGTTGCAGTCAAATTCTTTGCAGCTGTATAACTTAAAATGAACCAAAAGTATATATGTGGGCTTTCCTCTGCCTAGCCTGTATGTTAATCCCAAAAAAATCAACTGATTTTAACTTGTTTCTCTTGTTCCATTCTGTTGTAATCTTTGTCTGATTTATTGCTGTGGTTGTTGGCTTCTGATGATATTTATCAAGGGTGTGTAGAATGTAATGGACTAGATAAGTTATGAAAGAGATAAAGATTTTCTGAGAAATGTGAAGAGATGTAGGGAAAAAAGGGGAAAAGAGATATGTAAAATTTAGGAGGAAAAAAGGCCATTTCT